GTCTTTTATTTGACAGTGAAAAATGGGAAAATGAGTTAATTATTAGTTAATAAAAACTATTTGTTGGGTAGACGGAATCTTTCAAAAACATGGGGTCCATGGGAGAAAAAAATTATAATAAAATGGGTCCTTGGTGGTGAAAAGGTTGGGAACCACTGTATTAGACAGTTAGACAAGTTTCCTTTATTAGAGTTACTTTTTAAAATAAGTATGAAAAGCTAAAATGAGAAATGGATAAAATAATTATAAACATCTAACATTTGTTAACATCCATCAGCCAGAGTTGGCTGGCTCGATAACTAATTTTTTTCTTTAATATTGCAATGAAAATGTGCAATAGTGTGCATAGACTATTTTTATTAGGATTTCCTGAGAAGGATGATAAAAAAAAGGCCCTGAAATAGGGCACATTTCCACTTTTTATAGACTTTTGGCTTTGAATTTAAGGACACAAATAGTACATCAGTTAAGTGAGTCAATTACCACCTTCCATAAAGCAGGACATGCAATTAGCATCTAATAAAAAAGAGAGAGAGAGAGAAGAACATTATCTAACATTATATAGTTTTTGCTTCCTTAATGGATACCTTGAGCTAGTAACAGTACAACACTGACCAAGTTACTTGTTACGTTATATCTTTACAAACTATTTAAATCGCATCCTGTTTCAGTTGTTCATTCTTGTTTCCAAAAGTTACAACTGGCATACTTACAGTACTGTATTGTGCCTAGCAATTTTTTTAAATATCTTATTCAACTCTGCATTTTATACTATACCTGGTAGATAAATTGTTATAGACACAGGACCGAATTAAAGGCAGGGCAAACAAGAAGGCTGTGCAGGGGCCCCAAGAAGTTAAAAATATATATATATATATATTAAAATATGAATATAAATACATTTTAAAAAATAAACAGGTTAAAACTTTTCAAGTCTATGAAAGCCATTGTTTTTGAGTCTAACATTTTTTGATAATATCGTATATTGGTTCTTTATTGTATTTTTTTACCCCACTTAGACCTCTGTATTAAACATTTATGAAATTTGGGCAAAGTAGATCGTATGGATAATAGCATATCATACGAAAAGTATAAAAGTATCAAAAGGGCCCCTAAAATGATCATTGCCCTGGGCTCCCCCCCTTTTCCAAAGTTCATCCTGTGTAGACATATTAGAACATTATGAAAAAAAAACAAAACAATAAAATATACACTCAAATTTGTGGTTGATTGATCAAATATTAAGTTAATTGCTTTACTAATACTAGAATTGATTAGCAAATACATATATTATTTTTACTTGCAACTAGAAAGGGCATTAGATCAAAATGTCTGTTTATAATTAATTGTTCTTGCATGTAAAGATGTATATAGTAAGAAAAGAAATTGTACACGACGTTAAGTTACATTTAAAAACATTTTGATACAAAATCTAACAAATGTTTCATATTAATCACTTACATCAACTGTCGTTGAATTAAAAGACCCACACAACTGCAAACTAGTTGATCGTTGAGGAAAAGTTTACTTGCTATGTTCTTGCAAGTTTAAACTTGGCATCAACAACCAACCAGGTCCACAAGACAAAGCTATCTTCTAAGTATATAAAATAATAAGACACTCAATAATACTATTTGAATGAAAGAAGAATCACAAACTGAGTTAATAAGAACACAGTTGTAGATTGGTCACTTTCATTCGATCTTTAAATCATTAAAATGGGGCCTCCATGGTAATCATAAAAAAAAAAGGTGTCTCCATGGTAACACATTTTTTTTAAATGGGGCCTCCATGGTAATCATTAAAAAAAAGGTGTCTCCATGGTAAACATTTTTTTTAAATGGGGCCTCCATGGTAATCATAAAAAAAAAAAGGTGTCTCCATGGTAAACATTTTTTTTAAA